TGGCAAGGAGGCAGGGCTATCCCTTGACCATCTATCTGTCCAACTTCGCCTTACCGTTTTCTGCTGCTCAAACATGAGTTTTTTATAGAAGAGGTGGAACTGTTCGAAGCTGAGTTCGTCTCTGTGCGCGCCTATTTCCTGTTTTAAAAAAAAACAAAACAAGTGACCACATGATTCTTGATGTCCACCACAAGAATGTCTCCTCCCTGTTCACAGAAACAGAACGGCTTTTCTCTGTCGCTGGTTAACATCATGCTCTCTCTCCTCTGAGCCACGACTAGGTGTGTGCTCTTACCCCACCTTCCGGGGAGACGAGACTCATCAGGGACCCTTTAGAGAAGACCCTTCTCCGAGAGCCCCCTGCAAAGGGAGAGTCCCAGCCACACTTCCAAGAGCCACAAGGCCCAACACCTTGTTTGGGCCAAAGCCATTCTCGTTAGGACTTCCAGTTCCAGATACTGGTCATTAAAAAAATAATAATAAAATAAATTAAGCAAGGGTTTGGAGTCAGGCAGTGTTCATCTCTGTGGGTAGCTATCTCCTGTAGAATGGTGCCTACTTCCTGTACAACTGAATTGCCACCTGACTCAGTGGACTGTGGACTGGAGTGGACTGTGGACTGGCAGTGGGCTGGAGGCGCGTTGGGCCCTCCGTTTTGTCATCTGTACGATGGGAGGACCCGTGATCACGCCCTTCATGGACTGTGCGGCAACCAAACGAGACAACAGCCGCAAAACGCCGGCTCAGTGAGTGTCCTAGGGAAGAATGAGATTCTGACTGCGTTATGATCGATGGTCAAATGCTTCTCGCCTCGCTCACCTCCTTGTAAATTTCTACCCTTCTCTTTGGCTTTCCCTTTCCAGAGAGGAGGACAGAATGCTGGGGGCAAGTCCAAGGATGGTTTGGAAACCAAGAAAAATAAAAAAGGTTGATTCGGGTAGAACTCAAGAGTGCAAAGTCAAATGAGGGATCCTGTGATGTGAGCTGCTGTGGACACGGCCAAACAGAGCCCTCTGGCATGGGCTCTGAGCATCAAGTCCTGGCCAGTTAGTCAGCAAGAGTCAGTACCTCTCTTAGGATAAAAAAGGGGGACCATGTATGGTCTCTAGGTGCGCATCATTTGGAGAAGCCCCACCTAATCATTATCCCATCTAACACCACAACTTTACCTGCCACCATTCCCACCTGGTCATACAAGAACATAAGGCTGGGTAGATAAGCAGATGGATAGGTGGGTGGGTAGATGGGAGGATACATGGATGGATAGATGGATGCACAGAAGAGCAGGTTGGTAGTTAAATGGATGGATGAATGAGGAGATGAATGGATGGACAGATGGGTGGATAAATACGTGAATGGATGCTTAAGTGGATGGATAAGTGGATGGATGGATGGACGGATGGACAGATGGGCAGGTCGATGGTAAACAGATGGATGGATGAATGGATGGACAGATGGGTGGATGGACAGATGGGTAGGTTGGTGGTAAGCAGATGGATGGATGAATGGATGGACAGATGGGTAGGTCGGTGGTAAGCAGATGGATGGATGAATGGATGGACAGATGGGT